GTGGGCGAGGTCATGGAGGTCTCTCAGGGGCCTACGATGGACCCGTCCATCGGCATCTATCGGATCCTTGGACGCGCGCTCATGGACGGGGTCACCGGCTGGGCAACGATCGCTGGCAACCAGGGCGCCACGTTCTTGATGCCTGGCCTGAGCCTGTTCAAGGCCTTGGGCATAGCTCACGGGGGAGAGGGAGGAGGAGGAGGAGGAGGAGGAGACTGAAGAATGGAGGATGAGGGGGAGGACGGCTACGTGCGGGCGAGCGGGGATTTCAGGGTGACGCTGACTTGGAAGCGCATTTCTCGCAGACGTCGTGGTGGCAGCGGAGTTGGCGCACGGGTGCACCCCGCACCAACACATACACGCACATCTGGTCAGGAACGTTTGCTTAGCCTGTCGTGCCGCCAGCTCTGACCCACCTCGCTTCGGCGTGACACTAATCTCGTCCAGGTCCCCGAGCGTCCACACCCCGAACTGTATTTGGTCTCCTGTCCCGCGAAGCGGAACGACACGTTATCCAGTTGCAAGGCATCGCGTGTCGCCGGGGCCGCCGCCGCGACCCGCCAAGCAAGAAAGCCTGACCGTAGATCTGCCTTCAAACGTACACACAAACACAAAAACACACACACGCGCGCACACACACACACCCGCACGCTATTCCCCATCCAACTCTCTTCATTTTCTCCGCCTAATTATCCTCTTCCTTGCTCCTGCGCTGCCTCCTCCGATTACCGTCCTTCCTATCCTGATCCTCCTTCACGTCGTCCGTATCTTCGTTCTCATGCTCTTTTTCCATCTTTATCATCCGCCGCTAGCGGCATTCGTGCTATGCCTCCTCCTCATCATCATCCTTCCTCCTTCCTTTGCTGCATCTCATGCTCCTCCTCCTCCTCCATCCTGCTTCGCCTGGCCCTCCGCATCCCATTCGCTTAAACTGGTGCTTCTCGTCCTCCCTCGTGTACGCTCCATTCCCCTCCGCTTTATCCCCTCTTCTGCTCATCCTCTATTGCTCTTCCTCTTCCGCTTCGTCCCCCTCTTCCCTCTTCCCCTCCTTCTCCGTTGCCTAACTCTGTGCCTCCTCCTTCCTCCTCTCCTTCTCATCCAGATCCTCCTCCTCTTCTTCGCCCCCTCTTTCTCCTTCCTCCCGCTGCTCCCCCTCCGCATCACGTCTCCCGCCTCCTCTCTTCTCCTGTGCCTCCGCTACCTCCTCATCTCTCCCTCTTCCTCCTCCTTCCTCCACGTCCTCCGCATCCTCACTCTGTCTCTCTGCCTCCCTCTCCTCGCTCCTGCCCCTCGGCCTTTCTCCCGCGCCTCCTTGTGCTCCTCAGCTTTATCCTGTATCCAGTACACACCAATTTGAAGGGCGGCTGGTGCTCAAGATGTGACTATCGCCGCAGCGCTGGACACATCCGCTTGAAAGCTTCCAACAGTCACACTGATGGAGGTCGGATGGTTTTCCAGAGTAATTGCTCTCGCGCCGGGCACACTCAAAAGTTCCCAACATAGTCACGGATGGACGGCGGCTGGTTTTCCAAATGAGGTTCTCGCCGCATCGCCGCGCTAATCCACGAACAGAGGTTGTTCATGTTCAAAGCGTGGCTGTCGCCAGACATTCCCTCGCAAAGCTACTGCCATGAGTTGAAAGTTTCGAAGCCTGTAGACAAAGGGCGGATCTTGTTCAAATTGGGTTCCCAATTGACCGTTCTTTGAGCTTCATGTGTGTACTTCGTTACAGATCTTGAAGCTAGAAGGGAGGAGCGTGGATCCTTCTAAACGGGCTCCTCGCTGGAATTGTAGGCCCATGGGCCGCTCGTCTTTCAGGGAGGCGCTTCCCAGAGTGACTTGGGACGGGCGGGTGCTTGGCAGCATCGTTGATGCGTCCTGGATCACGGTCTGGAGCTCTCGCTGAGCCGGTTCTGGCCCATCCACTTCCCGGTCCCGAGGCGTCCGCGTGCCGAGCTAGTCCGAGCTCCCCGTCCCGTGGAGCGGAGCGACACTCGATCCGCTCGCAGGGCATAGCGCGTCGCCGGGGCCGCCGGGGCGACACGCTATCCAAAAGGGCCCGACAGTGACTTTCGTCTTTCGTCCCCCTCCCCCTCCTCCGCCTCCTCCATCCGATCCAATGGGCGGACCTCGGCCTGCACGCTGAACTGCCACGACGGCCTGGCCTCCTCGGACTCGGGGATCTCATGGCCGCAGCTCGGCACTCGCTGTGGGCATCGGCGGAGACTTCGGCCGAGCTCCGCCTTGCCGGGGAATGCCAGAGTTTGGGGGGCCGTTGGGGGCGATGCGCCGGCTCCGGCCAGTTCTGGGGCCTCGGAAGCCTTGTGTTGCGTACTCCTTGGGTTCGCCTATCCGAATCTCGTGGACGTCGATCGTCTTCTTTATCCGCCCGCTCACCGTTCCAGGGGAGGGGGAACGGGTGGAGGAGGGAGCCGTCAGGGCAATCAAGATGCAGGGAGGCGACGGGGGGGGTATTGCGAAGGCCTTATTGCCGGTGCCGCCGACCCTGAAGGGAGACGACGACGACAAAGATGACGCTTGCCTGAACAGGTGAAGAAGGAGATTGTCCTGTCGGAGGATCTGCGAGACATGGAGGGGGCCAAGCCCGTGAAGAAGCTCGAGGAGGGCCAGATGCTGGAGATGATCGAATGGGGCCGCACGTCTAGGAGCATGCTGGGCATAACCCGCATACGGGCAAGGGCGGACGATGGCTCCATCGGCTGGGCGACGATGAGCGACAACGAGGGCAACGTAAACCTCGAGCCCACGTGAGTCCATCTTAGATCCCATCATGCCCCCATTCCCCTCTCCCCTGCCGGCCCCACCCCCGGCCCCCGCTGCTGCGCATTCGATCCCAGAGCGTTGTGTGAACCCGTCCATCTCCTGATGCTGTGTACGCTCCTCTCCCAAGTTCGTCAGCTCCCTCTCCTGTTTCCCGCGCCACTTCTCTTCACCTGCCGTAGTGACACTCCTGATGCGTGCCCGCGCAGGCATGCCCCAGTGCAGCTGCCAGAGCCGTTCCTGGGGGGCTTGCTGCCGCTGCGCAGCGGCATTATCCCTGCAGCCTTCCTCCTCGTTCTCGCCCCCATCGTTCTGCTCTCTCAGCCTCGCCCCCCCCCCCCCCTTTTTGCATCCCGGCCAGCGGAAGGACAAGACCTGAGATTGCTGCCACGCCTTTTCAAGTCGAAGAAGCGCCCAGCAGACCGGCAGGCCGCGATCAGCCGCTCGTATGGGCAGGGGCTCGGCAGCTAGCGCTGGTGCCGCGATAGCAGAGCTGCTGGCTCGAGCAGGCCATTCACTTCAGCTATGATCTTTGTCGTCGAAAACCTGCACGCGTCTGTCGCTCTTACCTCGTCTGCAGATGCACCCAACGCCGTGGGCAACAGCGACAACCACCAAGTCTGGAGGTTCTGGGTTTAGATCAAAGGGAAGCGGAGTCCCCAACCCAGGACATTGTTTTTGGTTTTGGTTCGCGTCGTCAGTGACGCGGGTGCGGGCGAGGCAAAGATGCGCGAGGGCGAGGCAGATCCCAGTTTTGTCAGGGCAGGTTGGCATCACATTGTTCCTCACCCCAGCCGCCAGGAGCTGTCGCACGGGCTGTTTCCGCGGTTGTCCCGTGGCTGTCCCGCGGATGTCCTGCGGCTGTCACGACGGTTGTCTCGTGGCTATCCCGTGGTTGGCCCACGATTGCTCCGTGGTTGCCCCGTGGCTGTCCCGTGTGGTTGTTCCGTGGTTGCCCCATAGGCCGTGGTTGTTTCGTTGATTGTTCCGATTGATGTTTCGACTGTTATTTTCACGGTCGCCTTGTTTCGATGGTTGTTCCGATTGCTGTTTTGATGGTTGCCCCATGTTAATGGTTGCCACACTTGTTGCTCCGTGGTTGCCACGTTATGGCGTTGAGCAAAATCGTCGCTTGCGGCGGGCTTACTTCCCCACAGGTTGCTTGGTCGTTGTCCTGCGGTTGTCTCGCGGTTGCTTCGCGATTATACCACGGTTACTCTTTGGTTTCCCCGCGGTTGTTTTGCGGTTGTCCCGTGGTTCGTTTTGTGGTCGTTTCGCTGCTTGCTTAGATCGTTCTGCGTTAGATTTGTTAGTATTGGGCTCGGTAGTGTGATCGATCGATTTTCTGGTCGGGGGATCGACGGGTACCCTGCTTGAGGGGGCGATGGGTAAATGGGGATACTGGTATACACAAATATGTGTATTCCCCAAACAGTGCTGGCATTCAGGGTTTCTTAGTTCTCTTCCAAGACATTGGGCCTGTCTGCCACTCTGGCGGCTATGTGGCCACCGTCGCCACCCCGTCGCCGCCTCGTCGCCGCCCGTCGTCAGGGCCTGTCTGCCGGTCTGGCGGCTATGTTGCCGCCGTCGACGCCTCGTCGCCGCACAAAAGACAGATTGCACCACGTAGATTGTCTTTTCTCACAAGAGAATAGACTCTACCCCCACCCCCCCTGGCGTTATCCGCCCCCCTTTCGGGTATGTAGATCATATCTGATTATGACCACATGTCCATCCTCAATCTGAATTTTCACTATCCCAGAGGGGCCGGGATCGGTCCCCCTGAGGTTCCCAGGTAAAAAACGATACGCGGTGACATTTTTTGTTCTAACAGACGACTTGTCCGCGAATCCCTTGCACAAAGTGGGCCGAAGTGCACACGCGCGGGTCGTCGCGCGCGCATGCCGAAATCCTTCAAAAACCTTCGGTTGCGGAAGGAATTCGCAATCGAGTTTCCAAACAACATACAAACACGCAGCGTTTCGCAACACAGATTTGCTAATAAAGCTTCCGCGCGAGCTCTTGCGAAATCAAGAAAACCATAGGTGTTTCAAGATTTTCACAAACTGGTACCAAACGGGCTTCGCGCGTGCATGTCGAAATCTGTCGAACGCCCTTGCGCGTGTGCCGTCGCGAGAGTCCTTTGCAAAAAATGAGACGAAGTGCAGACGCGCGCGTCGTCGCGCGCGTATGCCGAAATCCTTCAAAACCCATCGTTTTCGGAAGGATTTCAAAATCGTGTGTCCAAACAACATACAAACACGCAGCGTTTCGCAACACAGATTTTCTAATAAAGCTTCCGCGCGAGCTCTTGCGAAATCTTAAGAAAACCATAGGTATTTCAAGATTTTCACAAACTGCTACCAAACGGGCTTCGCGCGCGCATGTCGAAATCTGTCGAACGCCCTTGCGCGTGTGCCGTCGCGAGAGTCCTTTGCAAAAAATGGGACGAAGTGCAGACGCGCGCGTCGTCGCGCGCGTATGCCGAAATCCTTCAAAACCCATAGGTTTCGGAAGGATTTCAAAATCGTGTGTCCAAAAAACTTACAAAAACCCAAGGTTTCGCAACACGGATTTTCAACAAAAGCATGCGCGCGCGCTCTTGCGTCGTCGTCGTCGTCGTCGTCGCCGTCCTCCCTCCTCCCGCGTCGTCGTCGTCGTCGCCTACGTCGTCCTCTGTCTTTCCTCGTGTTCGTCGTCATCGTCCTCTTTGGCGTCGTGGTCGTTTCCGTCGTCGTTGTCGCCGTGGTCGTCCTTCCTCCTCCTCCCTCGTCGTCGCCGTCGTCCGTCGTCGGCGTCTCGTCGTCGTCCCTCCTATTTCGTCGCCGTCGTCGTCGTCGTCGTGTCGTCGTCGTCTTCCCTCCTCCCTCGTCGTTGTCGTCGTCGGCGTCGCCGTCCTTCCTCCTTCTTCGTCGTTCGCGTCGTCGCCGTCCTCCCTCCTCTCTCGTCGTTGTCGTCGTTGTCGTCGTTGTCGCCGTCGTCGTCCTTCCTCCTCCCTCGTCGTCGCCTTCATTGGCGTCGTCGTCGTCGTCTTCGTCGTCGTCGGCGTCGGCGTCGTTGTCGTCGTCGAAGTCATCGGAGACGTCGTCGTAGTCGTTGTCGTCGGTGTCGTCGTAGTCGGTCCGAAGAGGTTTTGCAAACCAAGTTGCGGGTGGGTGGGTGGGATGTTTGCGCGAGCAGTGGATATGACGACTTCAAGTTTAGCAGACTGGATTGCACCCCATAGATTGCACAGCATAGATTTTCCACACATGTATTGCACAACTCATGCATTTCACAGTCCATCTATTGCATAGCAGTAATTGCACCCCGTAGATTGCACCCCATCTGCTACAGTGCATTAGTTTCACAAAAAGAACTAGAATATACCATCACCCTCCCCGAATTTCTCCGCCCGCCTTATCGCATTGCAATCTTCATGCGATTCTGCCCCATAGTCCGTCTTAGCTGTAGGTTCACATCACCCCAGCCACACCAGGTTCGACCCCCTTCACCAACCTTTGCAATCAACTAGAAAGCGCGCGCTCGTTGATCAAACATCGCAAAGGTCCAAAGATCCTTGGCAAGAAAGGGGACGAACTGAACACGCGCGCGTCGTTGCGCGCGCATGCCGGAAACCTTCAAAAACAGTGGACTTCATAAGGATTTCAATGTCGAACGCCCCGAAAACATACGAAAACTCATGGGTTTGCAGCATCAGTTTTCAGTAAAGGTCAGCGCGCGCGTGCTCTTGCGAATGCTAATCAAAATCGTCGGTGTTCCGCATTTTCATCACATTCGACCAAGCGGTCTTTTCGCGCACGAATGTCGATATCATTCGAGCGACGTTGCCCGCTTGCTGGGTGGGGGCACGTATCCTGTCAACTAATACCATGCGGGCCACTCGCGTGAGTCGGCCGCACGCGCATGTCGAATTCCTTCAAAACCTTCATTGCCGACGCGAGGACACCGTGATCGTCATCGGCGTGATCAGCATCGGCGCCGTCGTTGGCCTTGCCGTTGTCATCGTCATCGTCACCATCATCGGTACTACAAGAATCGTGTCTACCGTTGTCAATGTCGCCATGATACCGCGCCCGCAAAAACTCACCGACTCGCACTGAAGTGCCCGCTTTGAAGTGCCCAGAGGTCAACGCCACCGCGGCCGCGTCGGTCGCGCCAAAGGGATTGGCCCCTTTGCGCGCGAGCATGCGCGGGCCAGCGCGGCTGCACAGATGCACCAGCCAACACCAAACACTCATCGCAATCGCTGCCGCATGTGTTTTGCAAAACACGTTGCGAATGGATTGCGCCAGCACTGGATTTGACAACTGCGAGCCCCACAAGTGAACTGCGCCACATAGAGTGCACCACACATGTTGTGCAACAGATAAATTGCGCAGAGCGGAGTGCACGACACAGGATGCATTTCATAGATAGCAACACATAGATGTGTATACACACAATGTTGGGTTAATCTTGGCTAACGTATAAAACTGAATATACATATCTCTAGCTTGATGGAACGCGAAGTTGACCCAACGCCAATCGCAAACCGAAAGAAACACCCATCCCGGAACCTCCTTACCATCCCACGGGTGGCCCTATCGGTATTGTATGATTGACGTGCCGTTCTGCCAGTTCCCCGTAACACTCCTGTTTCTTATCGCCCCCCCCTACTTCTTCAATCCTGTCCATTCTGCCGGTGCTGCTCTTGGTCCTCTTCCGTCTCCTCCGCCTTCTCCTCGTCGCCCTCCTTTCCCACCTCATCTTTTCTTCTGCCTCCTCATCCTTCTCATCCTTCTCCTCCTCCTTCTCCCTGTGGCCCCTACTCCCAGTCCACCTCCATGGCCCCATTTCCCCCCTCTCCCCTCATGCTCCCTCCTACTCCCCGTCCGCCTTGTCCTCATGATTTTCCTTCCCCTCCTCCTTCCCCTCCTCCACCACCTCTTCCACCACCTTTTTGCAATACGTATCCTCCACGGCATCCTTCTCCAAACACCTCCTTCTAG